TTTTTCGATGATGGTTGAAGTATTGATATTGAACTTGTTGATTTTGGTACAGTTGAATTTGCTCTTAATTCTTGAAGTGATATATTTCGTTTACGTTTATTCAAATCTATTGTTGCTGTTGTTGTCGACTGTTTCGACTTATTACTTTCAAGTAATTTTTTTATTTCTGTTGGTTCCATTCCACTTTTACGACATTTTCGTCGAAAACGTTGATCTCTTCGATTACCATGACATTTTATCTTTGATTGTTGATTATTATCGTCGTTGACATTCATTGTGCGATGATACTTATAGATCGATATATTTATCTAAAAAGAGACAAGAAAAAAGCATGATATATGAAATATAAAAGTTAATCAGAAAGGAGAGTAGATTGAACTTTGAATCTATATACACATTTGATACGTTCACTGATTTTTTCACAACGTTGATTAATAATTTCAATTAAAAATAAAGATAAGTCTCTATTTCCATTGATGAAAATACCATCTGTAAATAATTTTTTAATATTCTCTTCATACTTCTTTTTAAATTCATCTTTTTGATCTGCAGCTGTTGTGAGATATAATGGAAATAAATTATTTCTAACTTTTAAAGCTACTTCTGTGTATTGATTAAAGAAATCTTCTCGAATCTCTGCATTTTCAATTGTTCCGATGCCTGTTGTTTGAGCTATAGGTAAATGTTGAAACGCTTGACTAGGTGAATTATAATAATCAATTTGTTGCTTCAAGAAATTATATTCTTGTCCTGTTGTTTCTTGTTCATATTTACTTTGACAAATCTTGTTCATCATTTCAATCTATAAAAGCGAATTAAATCAAAAAGCTGTTTATTTTCTACAAAAAGAAACATACCTGATATTGATTAGGATTATGTCGAATATATTCTAATTTGAATATTCGAATATGACAATCATAATGCATCAATTCAATTTGATGTTCAATTTTTAAACGAAAAGATTGAATATGTTTTTCAATATATGCTTCTATTATTTTTTGAACCATTAACGAATAACCACATATATTATTTTTTTTTGTATTCAATTCAGTTTTACATATATTTAGTTGATGATCTAATGCATGTAATTGTTGATTGACAAAATTTAAATAAATTTCATGAGAATTGGTTGTATTGTTTAATTTAAATAAACTTGTAATATCTTTTGGCCATATTGATACGGTTTCAGATGATATTATTAAATCTCCTTCACCTGATTTCAAATATGCCGTCCAAAGTAGATGATAAGTTTGTATAATCATGATTTTATAGATTATAATTGCTACTTCCCGTAACTGTTTAATATCGATAGTTGTTGTTGGACTTGTTGATTTTATTAATAATTGTGCCTCATATAACATTTGTTTAAATGAATTATTATGTTTTGTTAAAAAATTTGGAATTTTCTCAATTTCAGCTTTCATATCTTTCATGAGAATTTCTTCATTATGTGTGATATTTGTTGATAACTCGCGCAATTGTTGTGATGCAATTAACTCCTTAATTAAATAGATGGGATAAACATAGCAAACTTTTCTTAGTAATTTTTCTATCTATATTTACGTTTAGTTCTTGTATTTCTTGATTATTATCATTATCATCTTCTTTTTCATCATCGTTTTCAGGAATCTTGTAATTCCATGGTAGATCAGTTGTTGGTTGACTATTAACTGGTACATAATGCTGTCGTCCCAATGAATATAAGGTATCTGTAATAGTAAAAAGATATTAAAAAAATATTTCCTAATACAGAATATTAATTAGACAAAAAGTTCAAACCATGTCGAGTGGCATATGTCGGTAATGAATATTCATTATGTTCTTTAGATTGATTATACATCTCCAACATTCTGTCCATTCTTGCTCTTGTAGAGCGAGCTAGATCTTCAGTGTAGCTGTTCTTCATGACTATAGTTGAAAGTAGATAACTAAAACATAAATCTACAAGCAGAAATAAAAGATAATGAATAAAAATAGAAGAAATAGCAAATTGATTAAAATAATAAAAGAAAGACTCAAGTTTATTAAAATAATTGTAGGATCATTGAGCAAATTACTACATAGGAGGACGACGAACAAGATCTTGACACCAATTACCACGACGATCATCAATTATGCGTGCATTTATATCATTACAATTGTTATTTTCAACAATCATACCATCTAAATGACCCAATGTATTTAATTTTGTTTGAGCATGAGTAATAAATAATGCTTCAATTAAACGATAAAATAATTCGGTACATCTCTCTGGCATCACGGCAATAATTGTAGCATTGTAAAGATCAAGATGCAAATTAGATTTAAGACATTCATGTTTATCTTTTAATAATTGTATTTGTTTTGAACGTTGATGCATCGAAAATGTATAATTTTCTGAAGGTAATGGAAGTAAATCATGACATGAATGAATATTCGATGGAAACGTTAATGAACAATCAAAAGCTGTACAAACACTTGATAAATCAGATGTAAGATTTTGTGTTTCTGCTTCCATTGTTGACATTGGTACAAAACACCAATATTGTGGATTACAATCCAGAAACATTTGAATAGCATATGGACAACGAGCTGAATGTTTATAAAGTAACATCTTATCAGCTATTAATTCCCTACAATTTATACATATGTAGTAATATGAATATATATATATCGAAAACAAATTTAATTACTCTTGTGATTTAGTTTGTTGTCGCATACGACTACTATTTTTTGAACCAAGAATAAATTCATGCATGATTCGATTACCATGTTCACGATGATCTATATATATAGAAGATAATTATCATGTATTAAAATAAAATATACTAACATTTGAGTTGTTCATCGAATGTTAATGATGTATATCCTATGTAATCAAATTGACCACAAGGACATGTCATTGCATAGAGAATATTTTTGGTAGTACAAGTCTAAATCAGTTAAAGAGGTAAAAAAAATTATACATGTGATAGTATATACCGTTGGACAATTGAGAATAGCTTCATATCCATTGACAAAACGATGTTTTTGTGCTGATGAAAATTGAACAACTGGTTGACTTTGTCGGCCACGAATAATAACATCTTTAATTGGAAAACAAAATCGACATGTAACTTGTTCACATGGTTTTAAACCATAGAGGGCTTTTGGTTCATCAATAGAAAAGATGCCATGATGATTGTATAATGTTGGCTTAGCATTACGAAAACAGCATGTTTTCATAAAAAATAATTCATCTAAAATATAGACATAATCATATGAGCATAGAAGCAAAAAATAGTATACCATCAATTTGTAGATAGAATTCCATTGCTAACGCAAGTTCAACTATTCTTAATTCTATCATACCAAGAGTATTCACTGGAAGTACACCATATCGAATTCGTTCTTGTATCATAATATTCATACAAGTACGAAGACGTTTATAATTATAATCAAGAGTAGCATTATCAATTTGGAAGCGTTCAGTTAAATCTCCATATAATTTATCATATATTTTCATGAAGAATGGTCGAACACTAATATGAACACTTTCATCAGTTACAGTAAATGGTTGATGAAATGGATGATGACTACGACGTCGTCGTTGTTCATTTGTTAAGTTTCGAGAAGGAACATTAGCCAAAAGTAAATGATCGCGATTAATAGGTCCAAATCGATCAAATGTTGGATAAGCTGCTAACAGTTCGAGACGATTCATAATAGGATTTGAACATTTCAATGGTTGTATTTCCTGTTTAATTGATTGTTGTTGAGGATTATTATTCTGTTTATCATCATCACCACCAATATATTCCATAGTATTTGATGATAATAATTCTGAAGACAACATTATTATCTAAAATAATAAGCTAAATAAAATAAGAAATATAACATAATACATCTGTAAATAGATATTAATTTGTTTTAATATAATGTAAATAAACAGAAATGAATCAAAATATGATGATGTTGATGTTAATAAAAAATAATATAAAGATATATAATGTCTATTATTTTAATCTAAGAAAAAAATATGATTTGTACTTACTTAAATGTTAGCTAAAAAAATATGAATATTATATAGAAAAACGATGCGTATTTATATCTATGCTACGCCCTCATATGTGTGGGAGAAAATAGTTATTTAATGGTGAATATGAATCAATGCATAGCAATGTATTTTGTTGTTGTGTATAAAAGATAGATAAGAAAAAATATATCTTTGTCCCTAATACGTGCAAATATGCTATTTCATAAAAAAAAATTTTTGAAGGAAAGAGAATGAAGAAAAGAGAATGAAGATAATAATTACTTTTTTCATATATTTTTTTCTGTATATGTACATCAATAAATTAATTAAGTAATAGTAATAATAATAATCTAATTTTCGTTCAAATCTTCAACAATGGTATTCAATAATTGCTTCGTGGAAATTTAAATTGAATTATCAATATTCTAAGAGAATATATAATAAAATAATGATCTGACTCTATATGAACTGAAAGTAAAAGAAGTAAGAGATAATAAACATGCAATATAAAAGATTTCTGATAATAATAATGGTTGATTTCATCATATATTGACGTATTCGTCCTTATTAAACATAGACAATGAAATCAGTAAAAATGAAGTTTATCAATACACAAATCTACTAAAATCTTGAAAGAAATATTACGTATAATACAACTAACAAAAAGATATAGATAAGAATACAATAATTGTGATATAAAATCATCTTATGATTATCATAGCTGACCATATCATTGAGTTTGAATACGGATAAATTCATAATATATTACCTAAACAAAATTAAAAAAAAACAACTTACTTGCTTATGTGATGATAATCGTTGTTGAATGATGAATGAATATGAATGAAGAAACTAACGTCCTTATATAGTCTCGAAGAGAAGAGAGAGAGAGAGATGGATGTACGTGACAAAAAGCGTATTATTCATATAAAAGATAAGGAATATCACGTCTTCAGAGTGGGAATGATACGTGACAGAAGGCGTATTGCTCATATAAATAATATAGAGTGTCACGTCTTAAGATTGGAAATGATACGTGAAAGAATTCGATTACTAATTTTTCCATTATCTATGTACGTGATTGTATATTACTACGTGATAACCCATTTGTCCTGGCTACGTGCTTGGAGGAGTTGATTATAGTATGAATAATAAGAGAGAAAGAGAACGGTATAGCTTGATATTCTGTTATTCATCTCATTTCATTCTCTTCATTCGTCCGAGTAAGTTGCTTCTAGTTTTTTTTTCTTTTATAATTGTATTTTTCAATCATACTTCATTGACACGATGATTATATGAAGTGAATATAAATTTATTTTTTTTCGTGCTAGTTATTATACATATACAAAATTATCTCATATCGTACAGCTCAAATTACAACAATTATGGTTGAAAAAAATATGGTAAGTTTCATCAAAAACAAACCTTTATTTCCGAAATTTTCTTTTAAAATCAGTCACGGCTAATCCAGGAAGAAAATACAAAATATAAGTGTAGAACAACTAAGAATATCGAGTAAATCATATATTTGAAATATCTAAATTATAACAATATATTAAGATAAAAAAGAAAATGATTAATAAAATGCAAATAGGATTAATGTAAATATAAATGAGTTCTCTAAACTGAATAATAATATAAAACTTGGATGTGTAATTTTATGTCATAATATTGTTTCTTGATTGAGAAATAATTAACTTATCTTTCATTGAATTATAATTTCGATTTTCTCATATAGTAATTTATGCCTTTCTCACTGTTCTGAATGAATTAAAAAATCTTTTTGATTTTAGATTGATTATTATGGAGTTGTGTTAATTTTAAAGATATATCTTAAAAAAGAATAAAACAATATTTATCAATCCTCATAATTATGTGTTGCATCCATGATTTAGTTTCATTGCACCAACATCCTTTTTTGATCTTTTCATATGGTTGCTGTTTTTCTACTTTGAATTATTCAATTGGATTTAAAAACTCATAGTTGTGAGCGTTTACTGGTACAATGTCAAGGTCTGATAAGTCTTGCTGTTATGATTCTATTACTTGTTTCATTTTTTTTTGATAGATATCTTCTTCTCGTTCCAATTCTTCAAGTTGCTTTGTTCGATCTTTTTCTGCTGTTATCGCCATTCATATTACTTTTCTATTTTCCATAAATGTAAGGCATACTAGAACTAGACAAATAGTTTCAGGGAAAAATATATAACAATAATATACTAATGAATAAGTAGCGCATTAGTGTGAGCTTGGTTAAAGAGATAGAGCTCTTGGTGATAGGTTTTGTTATTGTCGAAACGCACTACTTCGTACCAGTGACTTCTGTGTTTTCTTGAACATAAACTTCGTTATCGAACTACTAGAATTATACTGACAATAACAGTAAACAAAAGTGATCACAATAAAAAGGTCCAAAATAAAGAAGAAAGATAATTGCAAAATAATTTTTTATGTCATGCACTGTATAGAGAATGTAAGAATAAAGCACTGATCAATACTTATAAATATGTTTAACTCTGTGAGCAATTGTCATTGTCATATCTATTAAAGCCTTCGTAATACCACCTATGTGTTCTTTAAGATTTTTCATAATATGATCTTTTTGATTCTTGAGAGTCGTATGATAAACTTGTGATGGTTCAAACAATGATATTGCACTTACTAGTCGTTGATCTCGTTGTTGTATCTGGTCCAGTAAGAACAACCACTATATAAAGATAGTAATAATAACAGAAATCAAAACAGTACATACCCAATTATTGTGAGAATAAGAAAGCTAATAGTCGAGGAAGTCTCCAAAATGAGAATGATATAGCTTGCTGGAAAACATCGAGTATTTATACTGTTCGATGAGA